TTCACACAGGAGAGAAGCTGTATAACTGTTCAGAATGTGGGACGAGTTTTAATCGACAGAGCTCTCTCCAACAACACAAGCGCGTTCATACAGGAGAGAAACAGTATCTCTGCTCAGAGTGTGGGAAGAGTTTAGTCAACAGAATACTCTCAAAGAATACCAGCGCATTCATAGAGGAGAGAAACCGTATCACTGCTCAGAGTGTGGGAAGACTTTTAATCATCAGAATACTCTCCAACAACACCAGCGCATTCACACAGGAGAGAAGCCGTATTACTGTTCAGAGCGTGGGAAGAGTTTTAGACATTCCAGTACTATGACGACACACAAGTGCCTTGAGAGCAGTGGTGGAAATGGGCAGTAATAAGTCTAACCCAAACACATTCCAGGAGTAAAAGTCTGTAGAGAATGTTTCCAGCCCAGATTTCAATGACAGGAATTACTGTTTTTAGAGGGGAAGTCCAAATTTTGTTGTTTTATGCTGTTTTTATTCTTGAACATAGAATGAAAAAGAATTTAATTAATAATATTTATAATATGGTAAAAACAATTGAAAAGCTCCACATTCAATAATTTAAGTAAGTTGTTTACTTTCTAGTTTAGTGTATATAAGCTAATGTTTCTGTTCCAACAATGGAAGTTTTGACAAACACAAGGCGGTGTGCTTGGCTTCTTACATCCCTCTTTTTCTTCTTAACTTCTTTTTTTGTTAGCCAGTTAATGCTGAAAGGGCCACTTTGTCTTTCCTTTTAATCTTCTGTTCTCTGTATGATGTATGCATGGAGTGTTTTCTGTAATGAAAGACATTTGACCCCAAATACTGCAGCACAGTTTTTTTTCTCTGGTGGGCAGAACTGAACAGTTTTGTGATTGAGTTACAGGAGTATGAAGGACTGCAAGACATTAAGCTGTCTGGGTGACATAGTGGCGTCCTCTCCTCAGTATGGAATATGCATTCCGTTCTATGCAGCAGAAAGTCACATACATGCCAGACTACAACTCATGCATAAATTTTCTATTACGCTTTTCAGAGACTTTATGGATTTGTGATGTTTTTTTTTGTGATGCTTGGGGAATGATTGTTCGTCGAGAAGGGCACTGTAACATGAAATAAAGAATTTATAGCCATCTCCAAATTTTTCCTACCATACATGGTGATGATACAGGAATTTGAACTGTATATTTCCATCATTGTACAACTGGGTGAAATGTGACCATCTGGGGACGTTCAAGGCCATGAGCCTGACCTTTACTGACTTCATTAGGATGCGCATGAAGGATCTTTGTTGAGAGAACTGAAGCAATATGACACCCTGTCCAGTTTTGTTTCTGAACCAATCAAAGTCTGCATAATGGTTTTGATTTATAATGATGATTCTGTTTGCGATTCTATATTTAGATTGTCTAATTTACATATAATTTACATTAGGGATACAATAGTATGAGAATTCTGTGCCAGTGCTGACATCCAATATTTTACATGTACATGTATTCATATTTTGGGCATGCGAAATTGCCTGATGTAAACACACACTGTTCTTGCTGCATTGCGCAGCTTAATATTACTAATTACCACCTGATAAGCTGATTTAGGCTATCAAAATATCCTAATTATTCTTTTCAAATTTTCCCAATCCATCTTAAATGGTGCAGCAGTTACGTGCTGAAGCCTTAGGCTCCAGACTGTAACTGCTGCACCATTTAAGGTGGAACAGGAAAATTCAAACAAGAATCTGAATATAGTATTTTTTTCATAAATTGATTTAAGCTATCAAAATACCTTACCAAGAACGTTGTGTACAGGGCTCCCTCTAAGTATGCACCACGGTAGGGTATTTTGACAACATAGCACAATTCTTCACTGGCCGTGGAAACTAAAACTCATAAGACTCACATCAGATGTCCAAATGTCTGTGGTAAGCCTAACAGAGGTCACTCATCATCAGTGAGCTGTGAATGTGAGTCGCTACCATGTTGTGTAGCTTCAGAAGGGCTAAGTTGGAAAAAAAACAGTGATTGGGTTTGGTGTAACGTGGCTCGAGGTGTTTGAGCAGCCATTAAAACACGACATTCTCCACAACAGAGAACAGCTGATCTTCCAGAGCAATACATTTCATCACCTTTGTAGCTTTTGGTCTGATCAATCATCTGAGTGAGTCTGCCCGACGCCAATGATTTTTTTTTTTAAAAGAAAGCAATTATCATCCGATACCGATATGATTCCAATTTCATCATGCGTCTTAATTAAAGGTTTAATTAAAGATTGACCATTTTCTGATAGGAGGGGAAAATGCCTGCAGCTTTTGCTTTAGTTAAGCCTTTGCATGTGAGGTTGTGTTTTTGTGCAAACATCTGTAGAGGTTAGTGATTTTCCATTTTATCCTTTTTTTTTTAAATATTTCTTTTTTTATGGTCCTGTAATCCTGGGAAACCCTTTTTACTGTCATTTAGTATAATTCCTCTTTTGAAATTCACTATGTGGTCTTTTTTAGCTTTTGGAGTATATTGCATAATAGAAATTATGAATGGGCATTTTTCATACATTTCTAATTTTTTATCATCATTGTTATGCTGTGGGAAATGACCCAACATTCCATAAGCATGGAAACCTGATGGATGTAGTTTTCTTTTTTTATGTGTTTTTGTTCTATAATTTCAGAAGCAGACTTTATTATTTACTTTATTTTTGCAAAGTATGTTACACATGTAAGAAATCTGTCAGAGTAAGTGCACAAATGTATGATATGTAGCATATTAAAACAGACCAGAAAGACAATACAAACAATAAAAATGTTCCAATTAAATATAACAGTGAAAGTGAAAGTAAATTAAAAGTATAATAATTTGAATGAAGAATATGCAACATAAGTGTTCATGTGAAATGAGCTAAATAAATGAATATGTGCAGACACAAAAACACTATTATTTATAGTAAAATCTGCATGATATGAACATTTGTATGGTTAGAAAGGGAAGTTTATTTGCTCTACAAAGTGAGTACATGCTTTAGTGTTTAAGCATGTTATATTTTTTTTATATTTTAAAGAAGACTTATATGTTTCATTTTTTTTTAATCTTTTGTATGAAGGTAAGAAGTGCTATTTCATATTTGCGTGAAAGGGAAGAGACTGAAGCTGCAGTTTGTGTATTTGTATTTGTCACTCTTATCAGTATTACAGCACCCAAAAAGAAAAAAACATTGCAGTAAGTGATGAACTGCATTTGCGTTAAGAGTTTAATTTCTTCCAAAATGGTTGAGTTGATCCTGCCTTCCGCACAATGATGGCTGGGATAGGCTCCAGCTTCCCCGCGACCCAGAAGGATAAGCGGTTTAGATGATGTGTGTGTGTGTGTGTGTGTGTGTGTGTTGAGTTGTGGATGTGAGTCACTGTGGTGAATGTTGTAATCTAGCGCTCTCTCTCTGACTCTCTTTGCTCTTGTACAGTGTACAGATGCAGCTCTGCAGGATCTTTTACGACAAAAGCAGCATTAACTTCAGTTAAAGAATTTCATTATAATAAATTTGATGATAAGAACAAAACTAAATCACTTACTTACATATACTTTTTTCATTTATACCTAAAATTTATAATAGAAATATTTTAGCATTTATGACATTCTGGCGCTGCTCTCAGCTCCCTGGAGTAACTATTCATTTCATTTCAGACACTTGAGTTTAGTTTTATTTGTAGGTCTGCTTTAAACTGCAGCTTCTGGGGACACAGCACTGTAATTTAAAAACCCACATGATTCATTCAGGTTTAAACCCGGGTTAAACTCTAAACTTCAGCTAAGCTGAAGACGGTTCAATGGCCCCATTATTAATAAGCATCAAATAAACAAACATTACTCACCTTTTTTATCTTGTTTGGATTTTTTTTTGTGTGTCCACCACATGCAGTTATATTTCCTCATGAATGACTATAAATTGGCATGCTTAAAGTATTACAAACATAAGTTAATGCGATATTTATCGCATTCCATAATTCTTAGTAGTGCTTAATATAGTGTTCATTGTGGGTGAATTTTGTGAATAAAAATTGAAAGGGTGAAAATGATTTTTTATATTTCAGTGTGGAGTTCAAAAACTGATTAAAGGACAAATAGATGACAGGACTCCAGCAACCATGCAAGACTTTGTAGACCATCAAAATTTTCACCATCAGAGAAACAATACTTAAACTAAAATCTTTGAGAGATTGTAGAAAATCAAGCTTCACTCTTGCTTCAGCTCTGTGCCGTGGTGGGCCTGACTGCCTGTCTGTATATCAGAGCCACACCAGAGCAACTGGATGCTTTTCAAGGTGCTAAAGCGATACGAAGTCATGCGGTTCAGCACCAACATTGTGGACAGCAGCTCCATGTGCTACAGGAAGACTTTCCATGGCTGGCATCTGGTCTCACCCTTCACTCCTAACACTCTTGTAGTTTTAAGTAATTTTTTTATTATATATTCTATATAATTTTTTTTATTATATTATTATTATTATCTATTTTGTCTGTTCCAACTTAAATCTCTTAAAACTAAATATTGTAATGCATATCATGTACCTTACATTTCTCAAAGTCCTAGACTTACATAGATTTTTACTCTTTACTGAAATTACTGAGTGTAGTTAATTTCCTGTTCATTGTCTTTCTACACATTACATATAATTCCAAGAGGCTGAAAATGAACAGTTTTTTGTCACTGGACAGTTACCAAATCGTACCACCACGGTTGCCTCCAGACTACTGCTCCTGTCCTCACCCTCCCTTCCTGCTGCTCCTCTCCTACCATGAGAGGACACAAAAGAATCGAGTGGAGGAAAGGAGCAGAAGGAATAGAGAGAACAGGCAGAAATCAGGGAAATGGGAGAGCTGATTCTTTTCAACATCATTACATTTAATCTCGACTACTGATGAGTTGAGTATATCACAAAATTCACTTGAAAGCACGCCCCTAATACTCTGGTGTCTAATCACAGCTGCTACACAGAGCCAAGCAATTCACAATTGTGTGGTTTTCTACTACATGTTTTTTTTATTTTGTTCTACAAGTACAACATGCACAACACAGAAAATATGTAAACACAAACAAAACACAGAAATTAAATATAATTGGGTTGCTCCATGTCTGTTCTCTCTAGGCATGCATGCAGTAATTTCACTTTAAAATCTGTAGAAGACTCCCTGGTTAGCACACACACATTAATCCTCTGATGGAAGCTGATTTGATATGTGTTTGAAGTGGCTTTTCTTGTCTCCTCTGGTATTCAGACAAACAGTTAGATGGCGTCACAAATATGGTTTCCATGACAGGTAGGAAAAAGCGGTAAATTTCAGGGTGTCTGAACACTGCTCAGGTCTCTGAAATCTAGATGGTGTCTGTTTGGGGTAGGGGTAGAGCAGTTCTTCCCAAAGCAGAGTACAAACATTACAGAGCCAGAATTCACTGACCAGCTTTTTTCTGCCCTACACCAGGACAATTGGCAAGGCTTTAGGGTCTCCATGTTCTTGTGAAGATTAACAATGCTCTGCACATAGTACAGAAAAAGAGACTTCTTATTCAGATAAATGTTATTCACATCTCATAGAATCGTAATAATCACACATATACATTATTCAATCAATGAAAGAACAATAATAATAACAGAATAAATGTTAAACAGATTCATAATAGTTCAAAACCAAAATTCCTTGCATACTGTAGGCTTGACTTTAGAACAGGAGAATACATTTAGTTTTATGCCTATGATGTAGACACAGTAAAAAACAACAAAACATGGTTTTCCCCTCTAAAGTAAATCTGACTTGAATCTGGGATGGAAGCAGTTTTCTCCAGACTCCCGGCATGGTGTTATGATTACATTCATGTATGCATATTTTCACCACTGCACTTGTGTGTCTTCACAGTCTTTGAATGCCTAAAACTCTTTCCACAGTCTGAGCAGTAGTACGGTTTCTCTCCTGTGTGAATGCGCTGGTGTTTTTGGAGAGTACTCTGTACGGTAAATTTCCTCCCACAATCAGAGCAGTGATACGGCTTCTCTCCTGTGTGAATACGCTGGTGTTTTTGGAGAACAATCTGTTGATTAAAACTCTTCCCACACTCTGAGCAGTGATAAGGCTTCTCCCCTGTGTGAATGCGCTGGTGTCGTTGGAGAGTACTCTGCACAGTAAAACTCTTTCCACACTCTGAGCAGTGATACGGTTTCTCTCCAGTGTGAATGCGCTGGTGTCGTTGGAGAATAATCTGTTGACTGAACCTCTTCCCACACTCTGAGCAGTGATACGGCTTCTCTCCTGTGTGAATGAGCTGGTGTTGTTGGAGATTACTCTGTTTATTAAAACTCTTCCCACACTCCAAGCAGTAATATGGTTTAACTCCTGTGTGAATAAGCTGGTGTTGTTGAAGATGACTGTGTACAGTGAAACTCTTGCCACAGTCTGAGCAGTGATACGGCTTCTCTCCTGTGTGAATGCGCTGGTGTCGCTGGAGATTACTATGACGATGAAAACTCTTTCCACACTCCGAGCAGTAGTGAATTCTCTCTTTGCTATGTTCCTTTGTTCGTCTCTGAGATGTGTTCATGTGGAGAGTACCAGATGACTTTTGCTGAGTACAGGAGCTTCTTCTGGAAACCATATTCTTATATTATTCAAAGTGGACACTAGCAACAAGGGTAGACTTGAAACATGACGTCAATCGTTTCTGGAAGAGTAAAGAAAAAAAACAATGTGAAATGTAACAAAGTATTCTGAACTAAATCATGAATGCTTTACTCACATCAACTGACAGGAAATGTAAAAGAAAGAATAAACTTTCATCTGATGTGGGAAAGTCTATAACGTAATCACCCTAACTCTTCCAATAGACATATAGACCATGGAAGCAGTGTCATGATCTGTAGTTAGTGTCACACCCATAATAGAAACTCCACATCTAAGCTGAATGTCACAGAATCCTCTGTTTTACAAAGTTGTTAAGGAGCCTATATATAGTTTGACATTGTGATCTCTTGCTGAGAACAAGTTAAATTACATGTACTTTCCAGGTACACAGCCTGCATTTTACCAAATTCTAATTAAATTATTTAAAAATATATTAAACTAATTTCACGAGTGTACACAATATTTAACATTAAGTAATTTTATTGTCAAGTTCTTGATTTTTTAATGCAAAGATGACTTTTCGACATAGGACTAGTTTTGTCCCTTATCTCAAGAATCAGTGATGGAAAAAGCTACAGAGCCCTAGCAAAGACCTTGAACATCCTTGTCAGTACAACTCGTTCGATGATATAACATTGGAAAGCTGGTTTGATAATATGCAATTAGAATATTCATGGAACCACAGCTAATTGTGCACAATGCAAGATCGTCCTCAGACTGATAATAATAAAGGTAACAGACAAGCCAGCTGTCCCTTCAGAGTATCAGGTCGACTTGAAAGCACCAGGAGCAGCCACACAGAGAACAATAAGCGAGGAACTACAGCGCAGTCACTGAAGTCGATAGGTGATGGGTTTTTAGGTTTTGATCCGAAACATCTGTTCCTTTTTGGAAATAACGGGAGGATTTTGTACAGGCAGTTTGAGGGTCGCTACGATACAGTATAAAACACTGCCCCATGTTTGCCAAACCAAAGCAGAAAAACATTAGCAGCCAAATATTCTGGCCCAAACGCTCCCTCAGCCAAGTTTAAATGAAGTTGCTTCTGTGTTGTCTAATCTTTTTTATAACCCATCTAATCTTATTTTCAGAACTCAAATGTGTCTCCAGCTGTTTGTCTCAGAGTGAATGAAGAACAGTGAGTGTTAAAGTGTCGGACAGCTTCCTACCTTCAACAGTTCAGCTCTTGTTTCTGCTCCTCCATCAACACTGTATGAGCGCGGAGACGTGGACAATCTTCTGCTTCTCCGCTTTTGTGCAATTGAAGAAAGTTAGCTACAGAATCAGCGCCACCACCTGGCCTGAAGCGGCTTCACGCTGGAAGAACCACGGTGGTTATTTCAAATCCACCCGTTTTCAGTGAAGCACCGCCTCCAGCACTCTGACTGAGTAGCAGTGAACTCCCTCGCGCGTAACAATGAATATCTAAAGTCTTAATATTTCGCTATATTTACAAAGACCATCACGTGAAAGACAGTGAGGCTCTGTAGTTTTGGAAGTGCTGGAAGTGCGGGGAGCTTGGGCACAGAGGTGAAGAGTGCAAAAATACCGAACTGTGCAACTTGTGCCAGGAAGGACACACTTACTTTAAATGCCCAAGTTCTTGTGGACCAACACCAACGCAATCTACCGACACCAACACAGCTCAAAATCAGGAGGACATCAGGTGGACACCACACCTTAAACGAGTGAGGTCATCCAGGAAGCCCAGAACAGCTTCGAGGGTCCAGCCCAGATTACAGCAGGGGCGTTCAATATTATCCGCAAAGGGCCGGTGTGGCTGCAGGTTTTCACTCCAGACTGAAAGCTGGAGCACACCCGATTCTGCTTCATTAACCAGTTGGTCTTAGTCTTCACACATTTTATCAGGAGACTTCCAGGTTTGTTGGAGTGAAAACCTGCAGCCACACTGGCCTTCTCCGGAGAAGTTTGGACACCCCTGCTCTACAAGTTCCACAAATCCTCAAATTAAAACATTGCTTCATCAACAGGCTACTAGCAGTCTGCAGTGATAGCAGAAGAGGGTAAAGTTCAGCAACCTCACTGCTGGGCTTTAGTTACATTTAGGGCATCATATGCCTCTAAAGAGGGATTTAAGACAGTTATTTATTATCGCCCACTGCTAATTCTTTGGTGATACAAAACTGAAGTCAGCTATTCACCAGCTTCTTGTTTGAATTTTCCCGTTCCACCTTAAATGGTGCAGCAGTTACATTCTGGCGCTTCAGGCATCAATACTGCCGGACTATTTAAGGTGGAAAGGGAAAGTTAGCTAGCTAGCTACCGAGACATTAGCATGCTATTAGCGGTTTTTTATGCTTGTTACGAAGAAAACAACCATAATACATCAAAACCACATTAAACTAAGGTAATACAATGGTTATTGTAATTTTTCAACAGAGAAAATTCTCACATTTATGGGTTTCTTTGGTCGCTCATGCAGCCATCTTGCCGGTTTTTCTTTTTTTTCTCATAACACTCCGTTTGGAGTGTGCCTCTGAAAAACCTCAGTTTGGAGGGCCATGTAGCCCTAACACTTGCCCTACCCCTCTATCTCAACAAAAATTGGGACACCCTAACCCTAGAAGTGAACACGCAAAACAGAGGGCTAAGGGCTAAGTGGTAGGGGCAAGGGGTAATATGGAAGTGTTGCTAAAAAGTGCAGAAAAAGAGTGACGTTACCAAGTTCCAGTGTTCATAATGAAATAAAACCGTAAGAACATAGTAGTTGGAAAATAGTACATAATATGATATGGGTTTGTTCTATTGCTTAATATGTTCTTTAAATGTCTATTAATATTATCTATTATCTATTAATGTTACAGGAATATGTACAGAAAGATATCAGAAGAAGAAAGTAGAGAGTTTCATCAATAAAAGATGTGACGTTATATGTGCACGAGAGTCGAGGTTGAGTATTGATAATAATAGTGTTAAGGAAATGTGGCATGGGGGTCCTGCCATTTTGTCTGTGGGTGAGGATAGTGCTGACGGGGTGGGAATCTTCTTTAAATATGATGCTGAAATTATTAAAAGTAGACATATTGTACCTGGCAGGTTACTTTTAGTAGATTGTGTGTACAGGAATATTACGTTGAGAACTTGTTTTATATATATATAATATATATATATATATATATATATATAATAAAAACCAACCTCCTGATTGAGCTGGTAAGAAGAGATTGTTTTATAAATTATATGAACTACTTTGTGTCGGATTTGGGGTTATTGTGTGGAGATTTAAATGCAATAACAGGGGAAAATGACAGAATACTAATTAAAAACATACATCTGTCTAGAGATGGGAAACTTCAGTTACATACACAGTTTGATACATGTAGATGCCTTTAGGGAAATCTACTCAAACAAACCAGGTTATACACAGGTAGATAGTTGTGTTACAAACCAGAATAGACAGAGTTTATGTGTCTGGTAATTAAGGTTTCACACTATAAAACAGAATATTTAGTAGAATCTGATCATTTGGCAGTGAATGTGAGCATGAATTAGGGTGTTAATGAACAGCAAGTTTACTGGAAACTAATACAAAATGTTTAAAGAATACAGAAATGAATTTAGAGCTGAAGCAAGAGATTGAAAGGATTAAAGATTTGAAGATTTTAATCAGTTCAGTAGATGGACCGCTGGCTGAATTCTGTATAGCTTGCTCATCTGAAATTAGAGACCTACTGATGGAGTATTTTAATGAAGGACTGAAAAAGGGCATGTTAAATGAGTGTTTTTATCAGGGTGTAGTGTCGCTGCTTTATAAAAAGGGGATCAGTATAATTTAGATAATTGGAGACAAATTAGTGTGATGAATGTAGATTATAAGATTATAGCAAATGAGTAAGTTTTTAAATAGAATAATTGAATTTGAGCAAACATGCGCAATTAAAGGTCATTTTATGATTGATAATTTATGCATGGTTAGGGATCTTGTTGAAGACTTCTGTCTAATCAGTTGGGACTAGAAAAAAAGGCTTTTGATTTTGTTTCAAATGCTTACTTGTGGCAAGTGATGGAGTGCTATGGTTTTCCTTTAAAATTCATAGATATGAAACCTTTATAAGAAGTCAATAGTTCAGATTAATGTAAATGGAGAATTAACAGAAAAGTGAGCCTCACAGCAGGGATGCCCTGTAAATGCTGCACTTTCTATCATAGCCATAAATCAAGATCAAGCGGGACTCTCGTATTTCCGGGGTGACTAATAAATCAGGTAAACAGATAAAATTTTCAGGTCAAAATTTATAAAGATCTTTATTAAAAGTCAGTGTAAATTTAATGTAGTGTATGACCATTTCAGAGTATGAAGACTGAGGTCACTGGGGCTAAATTAAATGCAGATAAAACAGAGGGAATATGGCTGGGTGAAAATAAACCTCATATGAGTATAGACATGAAGGAAGAGATTAAAAATTCAATTACAAGAAGTAGAATAAAATATGTATGCAATTTATTTGTGGTACTTCAAGGGAAGTCACTAAAAGGGCAATTTTATTCAAATCTAAAAAGATTTAGGGGGTCTTGGTGCAATAGACATTGGTTTAAAACTTAAAATAGCGTACTGTAAAACAGTAAAACAAAACACATGTAGACTGGGTTGGCAAACTCCCATGCACCCTCAACAATCTGTGAGAGAGGGAAAAGCTGGTCCATTGTTCCAC